TCCTTCTTTTAGTCTTCCCAGGAATTTAATTATCCATTTACATCTAAACTTTCTTCCAAAACTTCAGAAAAATGTTAAAAAAGTCGCATTTCATGGACGGCCGACAGCTACCGCATTCTAATGGCTGATAGTATACGAGTAACTCAGTCAATCAGATTGCAGCATTTGCATTAGTATACTAGTAGAATTCTACTAATATGGGGTAGTATTTATATCTAATTGTTCCTTTTAAGGTGATTCCTTAGTATTGCACTGCGCATCCCTACCGCGCACGATTTTCGCGTCATTAGCGGGCGCACATGAGCGCGTGCACGTAAGAGATTTCCCCTGAGACTAGGCTCGATGGCGAAATAAATGCTCCTTTCTTCATAAAGGAGCACGGTGATCCCCACTTTTCATTGCATAATTTCAATGAGAACAGTATCCTCAATAACTGAGAATAAAATTAGCAGAAATCTATGGCGGCTACTTTTTTGGCAAATGAAATAAATACTACAGAGGGAGACATAACGGGCCCAACAGCGCATGTCCAAATTATGTTTCGTTTAAAGGATAAAAAATGCAGGGTACTTGAAGACATTTTTTCTGGGACTTACATAAATAAAAAATCAAAGAAAGCCAAACTCTGTGTGATATACACGCTGCATTGAAAAATAATCGAGCTTATTTGTTGCGCACGGAGATTACCAAAAGTCACCTAAATAACCGTATTTGTCAGCATCGTGGCGTGAAAACAAACACGGTGACCCCCTCTTTTTACTACGTTTTTAGTATCTCCTTGTCCTGTAACAACAGCATACCAAGTTTCATCGGAAATCTATGGCGGGTTCTTTTACTATGGAATCACCTTAAGGACACTTCAGGGGCATATCGGGCAACTTAACTGGAGCCGTGGTTGGTATTTTCGAGACCAAACTAGCTTGATATTGCTTTATACCCACAATTCAGGTCAGCGGCTTGATATCGAGTTGGATATCAGAACAGTAGACGAGGCGTCTAATTGGCTAATCGTGAATTTAGGTAAGATTAAGATTGCCTTTCAGTCGCATTTATACTTTTCCCTTGTCAAAGGGCTGAAATATTACCCCTAACATGTCAACTTATATGAGCAATCCAACGACATTGACCCATCTGAATGCTTTTGGTTCGATTGTCTTTAGAGGATTATCTGAGAACATTCTTAGATTGTGCAAGCAAAAGATAATGTAATTAGCATAACATTGAAATGGTCGAATCTCCAGCTTCAAAATATCAATTATCTGGTAGTTTTTCTGTGCTTACATAATTTGAGGCGTTTGTAAAATCACTCATATTTGCATAGTCAATCAGCAATTGTTTTAGGAAATCTTTGGTATAGTATATTATCTACTGGTGTAATCGGGGCAAGAGAACACATTAGTTCTCATACTGAATATGCCATTTCATTTAGCACATACAATTCTGGGATACTCAGTACACCAATATTTTGTCGTCAGTTTTTAATTTTCCATTTATTAAAAGTGGAAAACGAACCAAATTTTCAAAAGTACTCGATGACAGAGAAAGAAAATAACGAGGAAGGTACGTCTTATGTCACCAGGTGTCAAAAGATTTACATCCTCTTCATCTACTGGTTGGGTCATAGGTGATTTCTATTTAATTGCCGGAAATTAATCTCGCCAAGCTTAAGGAGGCTCGAGAGGGTTTTTTGACCGCGCGTAGAATGGTTCCTAATGTACACGCGAGCAAATTACCCGCGAGAAAATTACACAATATCGCGCGCGATAGCATGCGTGTGCGAGTTGTAAACAAACATGGCCGCCTCGGACAACTTAAAAATGCCGGGTCCCTCTTCTGTTTTCGATGAGAGAGTTGTTTATAGAAGGAAAAATGGAAAATTTACATCTCAGAAACAGTCAGAAAAGACCTCAAGTGGTATAACTTATTACCTTACAAAATTATAAGGTTTATAAGACGTTTAAGTCTTGTTCAGTGCGTAGCCCCAAGACAAATACGTCCAGAAATAATTTGTTTGCGTGTAGATTTGCTTGCTCTCGGGGTCATTCATGCATGCCCGACCTGCCCGTCCTCAGTTATAAATTTCAAGGAATATTTACTGCTAATGTATTTAGTGAGCTAGCCGTACATACCGAAAGTAAAATGATAATTTTTACGAGTGGACCGCTGTAAGGTTTCACTTTTTCAGGTAAATTTTGCATACAGTCGGCAAGGAGGCGGAGGTGATTGACGTCCACCAAACTTTGCTTTTGTCTAGACTTTTTTTGCGCTGGAGGTCGCGTGTGATTGATAACCGCTGTAACTCCACAGACCGATATGAAACGCTCTCGTTCACTGAATGAGACCGTGCGAAGCTTTTCGGGGTCTCCTCGCGAGAATGAGCCGTTGAGTCAGCGGCATTGTTCAAGTCGCATGACCGGAAATAGCAGTGTGTGCTAAAATAGCGGAAACCGGAAATAAAGCTTGTTCAATTTGGTGATCTAATATCTCGAAAGTTAGCTCGCTGACCTACCCTGATTTTTTATATGAGAAAAAAAAATTCCTTATTTCGCGTTCGTTAAGAAAATTTAGAAAAAAATTATCTAGTAGAATTTTTTTTCGACTTCCTACAGCTCTTTTATAAATAAATCAAGTTCTACTTGATAGTTTTTTCACATATCACGTGTTAGACTAGAAAATTTGATGGGGTTTTCAAAAATTGAAAAATACTAGGTCACCGAATTGATTTTTAACTTATTTTTGAAAAACTGAGTTTGAAAGGGTCTTTTTGCAGCACCGTACCGTTGCCATAGCAACCGTTGGGACATTGCAAACATCTTAAAAATTTGTATGATAATAGTTATATTCAGATGACAAAACATTGCTCTTCTGATAGGGACAACAGTGTTGTAATCTTTCTTCATTGGACACGTCCTGTTTATCGCGGAAAACCCTTTTGAGCCTCCTTAAGTTAGAAACCTTGTAAGATGTCTACATAAGAAGACTCTCTACTTAAAGACAAATTTCAAGGGAAAATTGTGTAGGTTAAGTGACCCAGATATTACTGAAATAATCCATTTAAGAAAAAGGCGCTGTGAGACTAAGATGATTTTAAGACTTCTTCCTTAACAATACGACACTGTACTGATCGCTGATGCTCACAGGACACAAAGTGACAACGGGTGGATCAATAGCAAGCGCGTGTGTGAACTTTCAAATCGATTGAAGTTGGCAAAGGCTCCATGTGGAATTTTCTTTAACTTATTTCCGTTCAAGGAACTAGGAGAAGACAGTAAACATAAGTTGCTGATGGCAATTGTAATTCACACTGCTTAAGGTGGCTGGCAACAGTTTCCAGCACCTTCCCGCAGTTATACTTTGATGGATCAGACCTACCACACTTTATCAAGTGATATTACAACAACGGTATCAAAAAAATCAAAGAATACCAATCGAGTGTTTTAGCAAGCAACCGCGGACTATTATCCTGCTGTATACGTTTCAAAACGTTAGATCAGAAGTGATATATTCGGCTTATCATGGAAAAATAAAGAATATAAAAGCCAAGACTGATACAACATAACAACAACAACAATGATTTATTTACTCTTGACACTTAATAACACATTTGCGAAGAAATTACAATAACTTCGGGAAAGATATTTGTTTAAAGTCGAGCCAGGGGGATAAATGAACCTTGCGGTATTCGAGTTATTCCCCTGCCTTTTACGTGCCAAGGGAATGAAAGAGACAAGTAAATAAAGTGCAAACACAGGGAGACGGACCAACTACGCGTAAGATAACATTTTAAAAAAGAGTCGTCTTATATTTTGGCTGGCATAACCAGCCTTCTTCAGGTACAATGAAAATTTTACACCGGAAGGGGTATTTATGTAGTATATTTGCCTAAAGCCGGAAGTACGTAAATAATTAATATTTAAACAATTACGTATATAATTATAATTAAAATAAAAACTTTCCCAGCATGCTTTGTACGAAAAAAACACTGCATGTTGAATAGCTTTGTCCGTTTGAAGTCAGGAAGGTTACCACATCATTTAAGCAATAGACTACATTTTCTATGGTTTATAGGGGTAATAAACCATGTAGCATGTTGGGAGGGCACGAGAAAAGCTTGTAAATCACGAGCCTTTATAAAACAGCTATGAAAACTCTGCCAAAGAGGAAAAAACTGTTGGAATTTCGCGGTCAAGTTGCCTATTCTCAGCAAATTCTTCAGATGACCCAGAAAAACCAATCACAGAAGCTGAAAGAATAAAAGCACAGACTCGGCCGAGTATGTACTGTGCTGTGCGGCGCCGAGCACAAAATCCGCAGAGCAAATCGACGAAAACATTTAGCGCTGTAAATATTCTAGGAAAGGAGAAGGATATCACTGAAAGACAGAGTGTATCAAATAAGTCAAAAGGACTTTGATGGGAAAATGCAGGTATTCGTGGCCGGAATCCGTCATCACGAAAGTGAAAGACCATGCGAAAGTCTGGCAAGTAGTACAAACTTTATGCGTTTGGTGAAGTGATTCCACGTCAATTTTCAAGAGTTTGGCGAATGGAAAGGTTAGCTCTAGAAAAGCTGCTTCTGAAATGTATGCTGAATTTATTTACTTATGTTGAAGGCTATGAGGGCTATTTTTTTTTTAAGTGGACTCCTCTAAAGACCTTTACTGGAAGTGGGCTGGATATATCTTTGAGGAAGTTTCTGCAAAGTCAAAAGGCCTCAACCTTAGTATTGTGTATGCAGAAGAATAATTTCAGCTTCGTCCGTTCACTGTCTCTAAAGGATGTCATCGGTTTTGTGAGATTTTTTTTTTTTTTGATATATATACATGTAGCTCGAGTCATTGATGTCGCCGTCCTATACGGAAAATACACATCTTAAAACATTTCGTCTTTGGCGACACGACGAGACTAGCGAAAGTTTCCCGCGCCCACTGCCGTCCTTCCCATCCTTGCATTGTAGAAAGGTACCTAATGGTGCCCGCGCAGAGAACATGTGTGTCAAGTATTTAAGTATTCAAGCAATAAAACTAAAACTCCGCAATTCTTTTTCGCACCATTGTGATTATTTACTATCCAGTAACCACATCTCCTCTTAGAGGGCTTTTGTTTCTTGATGTTACTAAAATATTGTGATAAAATATTTGAGCATCCAAAATAATAGCCATGAAAAATCGGTAATTTCCGGTTCCCCAAGATTTGCTTGTAAGAGGCCTACATCCTGATTAATAGTACAGACAACAGGAATATACTTGAATATTCTATTCTTACTTAGATTACTTTTGTTTCGCTTGAAATTATTTCATAATCCGTAAAGGAGTTGTTGAAAAGTGCCCAAAATTTGGTCGAAATCAACCTCACCATGAGGCTGATATCCAGCATTGAACTCGAGTGGAAAACGATCAATGAAGCTAACACCTTGGCATAGGGACTTCGTGTGTGGATTTTTAGGAGAATCGGCCAACCCTAATTTCCAAGTCTGCCCCGGTATCTAGGGTAGAAGCTCTACAGAGTTGCTTTACGGGCTAAAGTACACACAATATCTCTTTCCCGTTTGTAAGAAAAAGTGAATAAGGGTTTTTATCCTAACTTTGTGACTTAATTATGCATTTTGTCATTGGCCATTCACTGAAAAACTGTGAAGAAATAACTATAATGTAAATAAATTAAAAAGAAGAGCCGAAAATTACTCTTTTCTTGCCCATCCCATGGGATTACAACCAAGGGTGACATCAGAAATAAAACAAAGCTACATATCTTACGCCAGAATAATATGACCATGCCATATTTGTAATTTAGATTTTAAAAGTATCAAAGGAATAGTCCATTTTACAGTTGTCTGCTCAGTGACCTGGCCTTTAAATGGCAGCGAGGCTGAAGGTAACCTTGCTTTGATACAGACCTCTCTGCTTTTCTCACTGAAATCTCAACTGGTTAGCATAACAACAACTTGATTTACACAACAAAAGCAGTGAGGTCTTCATCAAAACAAGGTCACCTGCAGCTCGCTACCATTCAAATGCCAGGTCACCGAACAGACAACTGCAAAATGGTCTATTGTTAGAGTGTTTTTCTTTAGACTGATTTTTGTTTTTGTGCCAGAAAACTGACTTCAGTCAACAGCTCAGTTGGTAGAACACTTGGCAGCATCACAGTGATCATGGGCTGGAATATAATTCAGTCCTAAATGTTTTTTTGTTTTTGTTTTTGTTTTTTTCAAGCGTTGTTTCTGCAACTGATAAGGTAGCACTCAAGAGTGCACCTCTGACTGTTTACAAGAAAGATTGAAATCATTTGCATTGATGTAGTAGTTTTAAGCCAAAAGGATCGATCACTTTTTTTTTTACAATAACTGTCTAATTTCTCGCGCGCTAAATGGCTCATTTTTATCATCAATAAGAGTACAGATGGATAAAACTTTGATTATGCAAGCTTTCAAGTTCAACTTTCAGCTGTCAACTTTTTAACCAATGAGATTTTATGGACTTTTTTAATTAGCTAATCAAAAAGCGAGAAAAGCTATTGACAATGTTCGCGTCATTTTGAATAAAATTAACTTATCTTTGTTTACGGAAAGTCTACGGTGTCTTTTCCCCTCATTTATTTCCGGCATTTGACCATTTTGGGGT